ATACGAATTCGTCTTACCCTTTTAATGAGTTTTATACATACTCTATAAAATTAAAACATAAGTGTCGCTTAATATCTTTGGTGAAACTTTGCTCATATATAGACTAGTTGCTTATAAGTTTATTTTTACTGTGTGTAAATTTGGATGTAGACTTTTGGTAGTACAGTTTATTTATGATGGCTGATGAGAACCTACTTGCATCGTGTTTCGTTAATTCATTCTTTTCCAACATCGTTGTAAAGATTCTTACTAGATAATTTCACTCATTTCACATCTCTATCAGTTTTCATCATTCTTTGGTCATTAACTCTTTATTAATGTACATTCAAAATGTAATCGGCTGGTAAGGATATTTATTGACCAATCAGAAACCTTTTTGTTTATCACATGGACAAAATTTTATGCCTCATGCTTATTTATATTCTACATGGCTCCATATAATATAGACAAACTGAGCGTCAGTGGCACAGCGGTAGACTGTTCGCCAACCACGCAGGTGGTTCGGGGTTCGATCCCCAGCCACCGACCCATTCCTTTACCTCTCTAAGCCAGTAATAAGACTGGTAAACAGAGAAGGTTGGGCATGAGGCTAGTAACCCCATCCAGCAAAAATTACCACCACTGTTACCGAAAATTCAAGTCTCTAACTTGAAGCCCTATGTCCCCACTGAGAACGTAAAGGAATACAATATTTAAAAAAATATGGACAAACTAAGGAAAGGCACCAGAAATAAGTAATATGAAGGAGTTAGTCGTCTGTCTATGGGGAAACACCCTACTAGTACCACACTATTATTCAGCAAAGTCAAACTAAGTGGAAGAGATACATGTATATAGAGAAAAATTTAGTGACATTAACTGACTGAAAACGACAATTTGCAGTTCTCAATAATTGTAATTGTTATTTTCAGCTGACATTATGAAAATCAGCTCTGATAGCAACCCTAATTGAGTTGGTCCTTGTGAGTGATTGTCAGGATACACATAACCTATGGAAAATCGGTTTCTTTTGACACATTCAAACTTTTACTGATCACAGAACTTAGCGACTGTACCACAAAACATGGTGAGTACGAATACTAGAAAAGTTTAGTGTCACAATTTAGAACTAATCAATCGAATACTGTTAATCTGAATTCTTTGTTCACACAGCACATCTACAACTCAAAGACAGGTAATGATTCCTTTAAACCAGCACCCTGGACCACTGAGCCAATCTGGGATAATGCTGGATTTGTGTTCGCTCTAGTGTTAGCTCAACACAACAACAATATTCGACTGGTGAACCGACTACTATTCCATCGTTGAAGACTCAGAAGACTTAGTGAGAAAATATTTATTGCTTCCTGGTAAAGGTAATATCACTAGAAATTACAGCCATTTGCATAGTCATTTTTAGGCAAACAATAAATTACTAGTTAGCGATATAAAAAGTGGTGGGCATGTACTAGTAAAATTCAGCTGACCTGTCGCTTAATCTACATTAAAGTCAAACGTTTGGTTTACAAGTTACATAAACAATCAGTCATAATATATCTCCTCCCATCCAAACACTATCAACACTGTAGACATACCCTGAAGATCAGTGCTCACAAGAATGATACTTAGGTGTCATAAATGTCTTCGTTCTAGTTAACTTGGGAAATCTGAAAACCCTAAACTAAACACTTCACACTGTCATCACTTAGCTAAGTAATCGGATTCCAAAGTTTATCCGTAAACTCTAATTTAAACTGATTATTTAACATAAACATTGGTTGTCATCCTGCAGTGTAGCAAAGTACAACTCTGATGTAATTAACAGAATAGGCTAAATCAGTATTTGTGGTTAGAAACTGACGGAAAAAACATCTACTGATATTACTCAAAAACGCTTACGTACTCATAAAGTTTTCACTTCCTGTTATGTATCAGGATTTATCCTCAGGGACTTTATGAATGACAAAGTTCATATTTTATCATTCTAACCGGCTATTAGAGGATTTTGTAAGTCATAGAGGTAACTGGTAAATCTGTTTTCTTTCTCTCCAATTCATTCCTCTTTTTATGTATGATTCAAAAGGAATATAATACAGTTTAATAAACTGTATAAATGAATGAAAGCTATGCTTATTGCCTAATAGTTTTCATGATACACATTAGGATCATACAATAACTGTATCCTTTATATAATATAAATGTCCAAAGATGAAGGATTCACTATTAAAACGAATCTCAGAGTAATCTCAACTAATCTGATGTTCATATTAGTATACTTTGTCTAAAATGTAGAATTATTATCCTAAGTGCTCATTATTAATATCTTAATATCCTAATGAACGATTATATCAGTAACTCTAGAATGTTACTACTGTTAATGACTACTACTTTAGTTATGCATTACTTCATATCTTCACAATATGTACATATATATTTTTGTAAACATGTGTTTGTATGTATTTCTCTGTAGACTGTATACTGCATTTGTATATTAGACTTTCTCTGTTAAAGCAGCTTCTCATTAATATTGATCAGATAATCCAATAGTCCTATTTGATTGAAGTTAAGACTAATTGCATAAAATAAAAACTTACTCTTCCTATTACTACTACTAGTAGTACTATTACTCATGACAATATACTAATATAAAAAAACAATAGTTACATGTACTGCTTAAAATTCATTTTGAGTAGGAAACAACAATAATAATAATTATTATTCTCACTTGTTTATGCTCTACTTTTCGTCATTAGATGCGAAAGATACGTGTGGACGTATTGTTTACAGCTCTGTATATAAATAAGTAAACACACATAAATTATAGGAAGCGGCTAAAACCTGCTGAAACAGGCCTATATCAGCTAAAATTGGCTTAAACCAGTTCGCATTAACTACAACGCTGGGTCGAGGTAGAACACTTATTACAGTGTGATTGGACAATCTAGAAGCCCGACCCTATGCAACGGATATTATTGGTTATTTGTTAGCCTAACTTTTCGAGGCACGTAGTACCTGCACAGAGTGTACTTTTGGTACAGCATGGACCAGCATGTCTTCTGTCTTTGTTCGCGTGAAGTTTAGTGGTATGAAATAATTAGTGGTCAGCAACAGTATCGAACCCACAAATCAACTGTGTTACTACATCACCACGGATATTCTAAATATAACTACATGCACAAACGATAAACGAATAGCAAACATTGCTCCATTTTGCGACATAAATATTAAGCACTAATTAATGAAAGTGTAAAGTGAATTTTCTGCTTAGTGCTAACAGTACGTTAAGTTTGTTTATGTCAGTTTTATTCTTCCCGTCTATTGATTGAACCAAAGTGTTCGTCCTCTGTCGAAACAACACCACCTACCAAATAACATCATATCAGTCATCAGACATAGTCGAAGCATCCGTACTAGACGTCTATATATCATCAGAGGCTGAACATTTCCGTCCAATCAATCAACAGGAAAAGTAAAACTGACTTAAACAGATAATAACTGATACCCGTCGCACAAGAGGTGGGGCTCTTGAGACCTAAGTGGTTTAGTGAATAACACTCTGATCTTTAGAGCGATGGGTACTGCGTTCAAGTCTCAATGGGAACACTATCACTTACTGAGGATTGAAGGTACATAGGCCTGACGAATCCCAAACAGGGCGAAATTTTATTTATTTATTTATTTAAGCGCAGAAAAACTTGGTACAATATGGCACCAAAAAGATGCGCCACACAATAATAATAAAACAACACAGATTAAAAGTAAAAATATGGGTGGAGAACGGAAAAAAACTTCATCAGGAAGGAAAAAGCCATACTTAACAAGTTCAAACAGTATTCGTTAGCTACCATCAGGAAGGAAAGAAAGAAGGAAATTGCAGCACGTTCGCCACTGATTACGATTCTTGGCCATATCCGATAACGTTTCGAGCCATCGATTCGAGCTATCTCTCGGACTCCAACCAGGGAGACGTGACGCACCAACCGATGCCAACCTAGCACAAATATCCTTCATCCCACGATGCCACGTCATGGACTGACCACCTCTCCGCCTTTTCCATCCCGTCCAACGGCTAGCGAACAGAGACCTGTACGGAAGCCTCTGGGATGACATTCGCAGCATATGTCCAAGCTACCGAAGCCGGTGTTTCCAGATGACGACACTGAATGAATGGTGATCTCCACTGTGTTCAAACACACGCCGCCGAACCTCAGAATTACTCACGCGACGATGCCATCAAACGCAGCAATCCTACAGAGACGGCGATGATCGAATACGCAGAGCCGCCGCACATCCTCAGCTCGGAGAGGCCAGGTTTCACAGGTACAGAGCAAGACACCCCGCACCGAAGCATTGTATACCCGACCTTTGACAGCCAGGCTAACGTCGCGACGGTGCCAGAGGTGGCTCAAGTTGATGTATGCCACCCTAGCCTTCATTATACGGTTGGAAATCTCATCCGTCACCCCTCCGCCAGCACTCACACAACTACCCAGATACACAAACTTATCAACAACTTCAAGCGGTTCACCTGCAAGAGTGAGTGCAGGTACAGGCTCCTGCCAATCTTGTAACCGTACTTTGCATTTAGACGGCGCAAAACACGTACCATACTTACAGACACTGATTGCCAACTGATTAAGTGCGATTTGGGCAGCCTGCATGCTATCGCAAAGTAAGACGATATCGTCTGCATACTCGAGGTCGAAAAGTCTATCTCCAGGGAGCAGATATACACCACCTTCAGAGCTGACTCCAGAATGTCATCGATGGCAAAGTTAAAGAGAAATACGCATTCTGAATTCCATTACTAGTCACCATCCACCAAATAACAGTACGGAAGGTTCTACAATGACTTTTATAGGGTGTTACATCAGAATAAAACGTTGTTTACATACTGAAAAGCAATGAGTACTGTTATCTGGCGACTACTGTTTGTTTTATTATGTTTTTAAAAAGATTTTTTTATTCTCTTTTCAGATATCAACATATAGAAATAACGTTTGTGTTGCCCCGTCAGCAGAATGAATATGCCATTTCCTATTCCCAGTGCTGACCTTCAAGAAGTCCTACAAGAATTCATCTCAGATTTAATTGATTCATGTTTAATGGATGATATTCTAATAATGCATCGTGCAATTAAGCTAGGATATTTTCATATTATTGCTGCTGAAGCTAATCCCGATTTTACTGATAACGGTGATTATGGTACTTCAAAGTCAAGTTCTAGCAGAAATTCAAACAAAACTACAAGTTGTTGTCGATGTGGAAAGTGTAACTCTAAGGTTGCTGCAACACGCTATGCTGCTCATTTGGCTAACTGTATGGGTTTGGGAAGAAACAGTTGGAGACGAGCAAATAGGTAAGTGGAACCCTTCTGAAAGTGATATTTACAATTTATGTATCATTTTTGACCTTTATACTAATTTTGTTCACTGATATTATAGGATTGCTGTAGTCAACTGTGATAAAAATTGTCACACTGACACTTGTCAACTCAAACCCTTTAATAATGACGTTTTTTCTTCTCTGAATCACTTGCATATCAAACATACATTCTAGTGGTCTGTTCATCAAGCTCTTTATCGGTTATTGTAATAAACTAAAGTGGCTTTTCTTTTTACTTAATAATAATTTTATCATTTCATTGTATTAATTCCCTTATTTTTTATAGGCGTATAGCAGAACATTGTCGCTTAGAAGACAGTGATATGGAAACAGAAGAAAATCTTCTTGAATCATCGTCTGGAGGCATGGTTACTTACAAGAGTACTGAAACTACATCTGATCGAGTCGAATGCAAATACTCCAACAAAGCAATCAGTCGTCACCAGTCGTCACCTTTGAAACCGACAAATTCTCTGGTATCAAATGGTTCATCGAAACGTCAGGCAAGCTGAGACAAAAAATGGTGTTGTGATGAAAGCGACTCAGTAAAATTAGTTCCAGCCTCATATGGTCTAATCTGAGCACTGTTGTTAACAATTTATTTTTTTAAACAAGTTTGTAATTGCGGATCTAATCTCTGTATCTTTTCAGTTGGTCGGAATTGTTATGTCACTATATTTTCATGATACAAAGTTACACTCCACTGCTTTTGGTGAACTGTAGCATGACATTACTCAACTGTTCGCTAATTTATTGTATCAGTGTTGCAATTGGTGATCATTTCCATAACAGAATGTGTCAAATGGTTTCTTAAACAATGCTAAGTAGAGTAGGCCGAAATTTGTGTTTCAGTAACTGCTGTTGAGTGTTTGGCACCATCATACTAGAAATCGGATCTCATTATACTACCGATTGTAGTCCATTCAAACTGGTAACCAGTTAATTCCCTACGCATTATCCAAATAGTTTTCAGAATTACGTTTGATAAAATAGCAATTAACTACAAAGACGTTACACCCAATCCAAGACTCGTCGAAATCTCTTAAATTTCTAAGGGAAAGAAACTTCTTAATTCCAAACAGATAGAGATGGATTACACTTGTAATCCGCTATTATTTCGTTTACAAAATATGATGCAGAGCTTGTCAAAATACCCAGAATAAATCTATAATCGAAACCGAATAGTTCTCAGTAGTTTTATGTGGCAAGCTTTACTTAATCAGCTTGGAGACACTATTGTTGAAAGACTTCAGAACTCAATTTAGAAACGAAAATTCAAAGTTCATATTTCGGAATAAACTGGCCAGGCAGACGGAAGATATTACTTATCTTGTGCAAGTCTGCACCGCCCGCATTATTTTCTAAAAGCAGTGTCTGAGACTGAAGTAACCTTCATTGAAGGTAAAAAAATAGGATTCTGTTGATCTCAGTAACCTGAATGAATGTTCCAAGACTATACACCGGCAAATTTCGCTTGCAATAATAAGCATAAAAAGATTACAAGTAGGACGACAAGAAGATTATGCAACGACTGTCAGCCATGGAAAATATAAAAAAAAGATAGAAATAGCTAAATCCAAGATAATATTGGGGAATTCTGCTACTAAGAAGTCGTTGTTATCGGCTGATGAAGATAGATCATGGAAACATTGAGGGAAAACAAGAAAAAGAGGTTACTATTCAGTCTTAAAATAAGTTGAGGTACGCATATAGGGCCTTGCACTTTTGCAGATCACAATTATCAAATCATTCCAAATGGAAACTGCCCAGGAGGCGCTGTTGGCTAGTTTGAACAATGAATGAACGAATAAGTTTGCAAGAAAAAAGAGCTGATTTTATTTCATTTCCTTCCTTTAGATACTAGTAGCATAAAAATGACGTAATTTATTACAAATGCGAATAAATAACATCAAAATTGTTTCATTTTGAAGGGCATTCAATTATTCTTAGCGTAATAATATTGGAAAATGAGATGTGAATATATGGTGGTTATTGATTAAACAGCTAGAGTTTATTTATACGTAATATGATGGAGAATTCGGAAAGAAAGGGTGGAAGTGAAAAGATATTGTAATCAGAAGTAAAGTTGTTACATAGACAAACAGATGAGTAAATTGGAAGATTGGTACTGAGTTCAACTCAGTGAGTGGAAGTCAAAGTTACATGCAGATCATGACTCAACAAAAACACAGGAAGGCAAACAATTAGCTCAGCGAAGAGATTCTTTTCGGTGATTTTAATTTCTTTAGCTGTATAGTTACATTTATATTAATTATTTTCACAAAAGAGATGAAGTGCCATGAACATAGTCGCTAATAAAAATCAGTACGTAAGGGAAGTTGGATAAGATTATCAAGTTATGCAATGAGGCAATTTATTTAATGAATGCTCTGTAAGCAGGAAATTGAATGTTGCATAAGTCAGAAAGAATTAAAAAGCAAGTAACAAACTTCTTGAAAACAACAGGGTCATTACCGTGGTAGCAGAAGTGTCTGAGAAATCCTATTCTGTATGCAGAGCTCTGGTTTTTTTTATCTAGACGGCTAGAGCTTCCGCAATACACAGGATTCGGAACTTTATTTTGGTTGGCAGGTTGCTCTTGACTTTGTTGGGATGTAGAGGCCATTGTTGACAAGGTGTTCAGTTATTGCACTCTTTATGGAGCCTCTGCTAACCTCCTGCGGTTGTGAAGGACAGTGTTCTTGAACACTTTTAGACAGGATACTCGTTAGACGACTGATGTATACACATGGAAGTGGTCAGATGGGAGATCTTGCCTTCCAGGCATCCGCAGACTAGCACGAGATTGGAGAACATATCTCTCAGCGTTGCCGCGAATTATGTTCCCAAAAACTGTTAAAATTCGCCTCTTAAGGACATCATAGGATAGGATGCTCTTGAAGAAAGATCCTTGTAAAGTTCGTTTTTAGGCACTCATGATGTCTCTTGCCTCTGGATTTTATGTTCTTGTCACTAAGTCTGGGTGAATGTCCATTTTGGATGAGGATTTCTCTCAGAATATTTAATTCTTATTCTAAAGTGTCAGAGCTGAGAAAACTTCGGAAACGAGTGTCAAATGATATAACTAAACTTCGTTTCCATACAGTCGGTACCCTGATGTAGAAACTTATCAGTTGACCGTTCCATATGGGTTTCTTTTGGATGGGCATTCATAGGCCTCCATCTGCTCTTCTTAGTGATTTAACATCAAGAAAAGGGATTTTGGACTTGTTTTTCATTTCAAGAGGGAATTTTATTGTTAGATGGTAGTTATTAAATACCTGTAATGACTTATTAATGTCATGATTGTTATGCAAAAATTGGTAAAAATGTTGTCCACATACCTTCTTTACAGTTGAAAATTATCACTGATTGATTTCAGTGAACCATTCTCGAGACATGTCATGAAAGAGTCAGCTAGGCCCAAGGTAGTTCTTACTGAGATCCCATCTTTTTGTCTGTAAATGATATCATGGAATACAAATTGTATGTTAAGAGTACACTTCACTGAAGAGAGTTTCATCGTTGAACAACCTGTTGTGTTTTTCATTAATGCTTGTATAGAAATTATTCATGAATTAAAAAGTAGGAAGGATACTTTGACAGTCAAATGCACAGAGTAGTTATTAAATGGCTAGGGTATTTAAAATGTTTTATTCTGTGGTATATTGGAAAAAAGCAATATACTTAGTGAGGAGAGATTTCATCGTCAACTGAAATTCCCAGGAAAGCAGCTTTATATAATGGAACATTAAATACGTATTCTCTTCCAGTTTAAACTTCATTATCATCTAACAGCGAATGGAAGACTCTAGACTTTGACTAAGTATTTTATCAATAAATAACACAGGATCCAATGGACTAGCTCATTATTCTAAATCACATTTATTTAGCAATAGAGCAGAGACTCTACCCAGAGTTATCACTGAATAGCAGTCATACATGATAATAACTGACCCTGTAACACGAAATAGGAGATGTTGAAAAACATGGGTCATTAGATTCAGACCCGACGACTGAATTTTGTCCGTTTTCAGTCGTCCGCATACTATAAGCTCAGTTGTGATTACATAAATGATTGAAGTACTCTGTGTCAAAGGTTTTAGTTAGTATGAAAGATAATTTGATCAAATTATAAACTTGATAGGATTCTTTTGAATGCCAGTTTACTCTATCTAAAGAGCAGTCTTGTTAGAAAAGTATTCATCTATAATTCTTATCATCAGGGTGTGGTTTGAATTTTAAGTCAGCTTTATAGTAGCCATGGTAGTCTGTTGCCAGAAAAAAATGTTTTGTTTGTTTACCTCAACATCGAAATCTATACATGAATATTTTTCTCTGTTTAACACCTTAATAGTTGTGTTTTAATCATTTCTACTGGTAAGATGTAAAGGTCAGTTGATATGACACGATACTAAGAGGTTAGTGTCATTGCTTTCTGTTCATCGTGTGGTGATATTATTGACTAAAGGCAAGCTCAAGGTCAGCATTCCCACTCTTTCTATGTTTTACCCGTCCTTTGGTTATTTTAGAGGTTAATTAGGCATTCATAAGTGGATGAGTGATCAATGAGCTTGATTCTGTAACCTAAAGATCCCAAGTTCATGTGTTTGCACTTCTGACGATCAAAAACTAAGACGAAACAACTAGATGCTTCTCAACTACCCCCAACTAATTTTGCTTTGTGATGAAACCTACATTAAAACTCATCCGCAAGTTTCTGTATTCAGTAGAACTACATTGTGTATATGTTTGTAACAAGCTTGATAATGACTGTCATCAGAACACCTGAGTGAAACTCATATTGTTTCTTTTTATCAAGCTAATCTGTATGAGCCATCCTTAAATTCACTTTAAAGATTCCCAAGAAACTAATTAATCTGAATGTGAATTTTATCATGGATAGATATCCGTCATTGAAACATTGAAAGGAAGAAAGCGCTGAACAGTGATTTCCTTAAAGTTTGGATATTTTTAGTCATTTCCGCCTTCCACTTCCAATCACTTAGATCCTGTGCTTAGTTAGGCCATCTCCATTCAACCACTTCGATTGCATTTGGTAGCTTATTTTAATCAACTAATCACTAATCTTCAAGTAATGGTTTTGTAGGGATTTTGTTTGAAAATTAATCTGATGCCCACTAGCGACTGGCCAAATTCAGGCAGTTAACCTGGGGTTCTAGTGGGAAGCCGTGACCAGTAGGGTACAGCAGGTCGAAGATGAGGCAGTAACTCATCGAAGAAGACATTGCGAAATGGTCACACTATGTCACGAATTGGCAGAAGTTAGAATTCATGAACCATTGGATCAGGTCCCAGTGGCTCAATGGTCTACGAGCTCGCTAGCCTTGTAACCAGAAGGTTCTTGGTTCAAACCCCGGTGGGTGCGTACTGCTGAGGAGTCCCGAACTAGGACGAAACAGCTGTCCAGTACTCCCAGGTTTTCCAGTGGTTCTCTAACTGATGTCAGCTCATGACGAAATCCTCCATGTAATCACTAATCACTTTGAAG